CACCCCCACCCCCACCCCAACGCGTGTATTAACATTAACGTCAAACCTTCTTCTTTCTACTTCTCGTGTAATTTCTCTGTTGTGAAGATGGTTTCTCATGCTGCTAAGTGCAAACCATTCAAAGCAGTGATGCTTTAGGATTCCAGATTAAGAAGTGAGGGTAAGCCACACCCTCCTTAGCAGGCTATATAGTATAATGATTTCGTTGTGAATGACTTATTTCTCTATCCTTCCAATTCCATGTATCTTGACTCGTGATTGATATTTGTTGCTTTATAGAATAGCTCAAGATTTGGAGCTTCACAAAATTTTATCTTACAAATCTGTACTAAATTTTAGGTCCTTCAGAATTTCCCCTTCCTCCTTGATACTAGTTTATCTGAATAATGTTAGTAAATTGTTGGTAGGATATGTTGGAAATTGTGACCTAGTGGTTAAAAGTCCACTCTACATCACATAGGACTGGGTTCATTCCACCAAACATCTAACCTTTCCCCAATATTCACAGACCCATCCTCTAAAAGAATTTAAAGGGAAAGTTATTAGTCCCAATTGAATGCTATGGAACATAACTCCAAATAATGATTCTTCAAGTCTATGATCCCTAGCCTCCACTATACTTCCCTTCCCCTCCACCCAAGAAATATGAAGAGAAACTGATATTTGTCCTGTCAGTTCATTCTCAGAGCTAAGTAGCATGGACTCTTCACTTTTGGTGCCGCATCCTGTCTACAAGACATGGGTGTGGGATCCGTAACGGATATGGTCAATTGATTTTGGGTACTTTGATCAAAATCGATTGAGAAATATGCAACTATTTCTGAAATCAAAACAAAGGCTAGGTAAATTCATAATTTAGACATGTTTTTTTATTGTTAAAAGATATTTCAACTTAAAGGTCCGCATCAGAAGGTGCTTTAAAAATATTTACATGTCAATATCATTGTTGAATGTGCAATGAACTTAAGAAGCCTATCATGACCTCTACATCATTTGCAGTAGCCATGTTACACCAAAAAACATGCAAGGAGATGCATTTGTACTTAATAATAATTATATATTCAAACTTGCTGTCAGAAATTTGTGCATTCCTTCCAAATAGTCCACCATAATTTAGGCATATTTTTATAACTCTACATTTAAAATATTTGAAATACTTTTAACCAAATCTCCACACCCGTATCCATACCTGGATCTGTACCCCAAATTTTAAAATTTAGATCATGAGGACTCAACCTCTAGATCTGCACCCATGCTGGACATCTGCACCTGAGTCCGAGCAACTTAGTCTCTCAGAAGTAAGCTAGTCTGATCTAATTAACTGAGATCATAACACAAGTAACTAAAATTTATACTGGACTAAATCATCTGGCTCCTGTCTAAAGCTTAAAGATGTTAGAGAAAAAAGAGGCTAATAGAGGAGATCAGCATTGAACTCTTTTTAAATGAATCATCTTTTTTGTTGCTGCCTTTGGATTGTATAAATCGTTTTTCTGTATAGCATTTTTCCATGGATTTACCTTCATTCATTCGTGTGATTTTAATCCTAAGATGTTTGGGAAAAACTATGGTATATGTCCTTCAATGTTTGCAGAGTGTTGTACTGCTTTAATGTTGTCTGTCTGAATGCTGTTTGTCAGTTGTGAAGGCCGCTGCATACGATCTTTCCATCCGACCGTGGAATCTGGAGCTGAATCTTCTTGTGAATCTCTTTCTTACAGAAATCACCAAGTAGGAGTCTGAAATTTTTGTTCCTTGTCCTGGTTTCTCAAAATTTTGCTGCTTCTCTTTTTATTTTGTCATCATTTAAGGGTTTATCCAACTGCACTAGGAAGTGCTTCAAGCTTGGTTGTTTGTAAAGTTTCAGCATGTGACTTCCCTTTAACAATAAGATAGAAGTTTTAACATATGGCTGTTTCACAGGCAATCCAGACCTTCTTGTGCAAAAATTGCCAATATCAACGACATCAATGTTTTGCTTGTGGCTTGTTGGGGTCTTCTGACAAATTAACTGGTGCAGAGGTTTGAATTTCTTGTCCTTTATACACATGAAAATCTCAAGGGTAGAATCAACAAAATGCCAAATTTTCTAATTTTCTTCTTTGACTTAGAAGATAAAATTTCGCAAATCTATGTTGTAAGCTCTGTCCCTTTTTTTTTTTTCTTATTTCGAAAAGGCAACACTTTGTACTAAAGACCCTACTGAAACCCCCTTTACAAAAAGTAAGCAGTTAAAACAGAAAAAACTCCTCAATTCTAGCAAGATTCTAAAACTTCTAGGATAGCTTTTGCATCTAGGGGGGGTACTCTTTGTACACTAAAAACATAATAACAAAATACAGTCGGTTTTAATCTTCTGTAATGTTCTACTTTTGTCTTAAAAACACCTGGCATTCCTCTCCTTCCAAATAGTCTGCCAAATACAAGCTGGAATGGTTCTCCAGTAGCTCATGTTCTTTGCACCAATCTCAGCTTCCTCCCAACTAGAGAGAGTGTCAACAACCTTGCTAGGCATCGTCCAATGTATGCCTCTGAGATTGATGAGAATCTTCCATAGTAGGTCAGCCATTCTGCAGTACAAAAACAAATGCCAACTGTCTCTCCACATAAACAGCAGTTGTGAGTTGTGACTAAGATGATATTTCTCTTTCTCAAGTTTTCATGGGTCAGTACAATCTCCTTTGCTTGCAGCCATGAGAAGCATGCCACCTTTGGAGGTGTTCTGGCTTTCCAGACTTGTTTCCATGGCCACTTTGTGGTCTGTGGAAAGGTCATGTCAAGAGTCTTGTACCCTAAACTCACTTTGTAAACCCCTTTTCTGTGTCCATTCCACCATAGTCCGTCCATCCCATCCTTTAGCCCTTGGAAGGTTTCAAGTGTTTTAAGAGCTCAAGCATTCTTTGGTTTTCCCAGTCATTCAAGCTTTTTCTGAAAATTAAATCCCAACCTTGAGGAGACCACATGTCAGCCACAGTTCTGTCATGTTATTGAGCTAAATCAAACATGCCTGGAAATATCTCTAATAAACTTCTGTTGCGTAACCATATGTCTTTTCAGAAGGCAGATTTGTTGCCATCATGCACTTTAATGACAGTATGGTTCTTTAAAGTAGTCCACCATTTTCTTATGGATCTACAGACAGTTACACCATAAGGATTGTTTGCCACCTTGGTAACCCAAGCATCCATCTCCCCATACTTCATTCTGATCACATCACTCCACAAAGATTGTTATTCTTGAGCATATTTCCGCAGTCACTTCAGTTTTAGGGCCTTTGATTCTTCAAGTTTTTAATGCCAATGCCTACTTGCTTGAGTTCTGTCCTTATTGTTGAGAAAACTGAGTTTAACAAATAAACAGATTTCGTTAATGATTACATAGGATCTTTTATTTCTGTTTTATTTTATTTTATTTCATTTCATTTGGCTAATGTCTTTTGGGTTTGAAAGTTTTATTTCGTGACTCAATCTTATTTTATATCACTCATCCCCTATCCCCTATCAATTTACGAGGAAGATAAATATTTAGTTATAGTAAACGGCATGTTTTTCACATGCTTAAGTCTATCAAATGATTCAAATCATTGTCAGAGCTTTTACATATGCACAGGTTTGAAAAATCTTTAAACATTAAAGAAAACGCTAGATCTAGACAAAAGGCAAGGTATTGGAGAGTGGAGAGAAAGGGTAGCTTCTCTCTCCTATCCTGTACTCTTTTTACCGTACTGATTGTTTCATTTTTCCTAGTGTCTCTGGACCATCCCTAGATAATGTTTGAGAAGTTTTAATAACTGGTTTTGCATTATGCTTCTACATTTCTAGTTGAGCACTTCCAAAGTGGCCTTTTCAATTTTTTTTCCTTTGTAGTCCTTAGCGGGGATATTGTAGTTTTCTTTGTGTTAGAATGTCAACATAATGCACTGGATTATTCATTGTAAATAAGGGCCTGCTTAGACGTGTGATATGAAATCATGATTTGAAGTTGAAGTTTTGTTTGGACATGCAATTTGGATTTTTATGTTGTATTTTTTCTCATAAACATGAAAACCCCACAAGTTGTGAAAACTATCAAAATTTCTCCAACTCTTACGCATCTTATCAAATGAGCAAACCATAGTTCATAAACAAGATATCGGAATATCCTAAGGCATCGGATTAATAAATCACATATCTCCACATTCCCTTTATAAATAAATGTTTGGTGATTACAAACTTCCAAATACACATAATTTTATATAGATCCACTAGTCAACAATAGTAGTAACTAGTTACTCTTTAATATAATCCTCAATTAAGTCCTCTCACATGGTACAATTAGTCTCTTCACGCCGAGCATGAGTCTTTTTTTTTAAAAAAAAAATACTAACTTATGGGTCAAGTTTTACATTTAACAAAAATTGAAATCATGATTTGGAATCCAAATCATGTTTTTTAGGAGAATTTGGGATTTGAAATCATGATCCCAAATCGCATGTCCAAACGCTGTTTTGAAATCATGACTTCATATCACATGTCCAAATACAAGCTAAGACAAGAGTCTTCTCTTGTGGTATCTGTGGAATAACTATTTTCTGAATCCACACATGACTCAAATCTCGTATAACTTGAGCTGACTCTGTAACTAACTTGCAACAGTGTCATATGTCATTTTTCTTCATTCTTATGTCCAGAGGCTTATTTTGGAGTATTGGTGAGGTGGAGGGGAGCTGCAACACTCACCGGGGGGGGGGGGGAGTTTT